AATTTCAAAAATTAAAAACTAATTTAAAAATGCAACAAAAATAAATTGGTACTAAGGGAGATGTAGAACCAGTAGTCTCATCGTATATTGTCCTTGCTTTCAAATGTATGTTCTCTTTTAAAAGATATAACATCTAAGCTGACAAAGTGATTTAGTACTAACAAATTAATGACTTTCATTTATACTGTATAGACTGAGGTTTCCCATTTATTAAAGGTTTCATCAGAGGAAAAATGTTCAAATGCACTATGTCACAGAGGTTCTTAACCTCAACAATGGTATTTTGTGAACAGGTGACAGTTGGTGTTCTAGGAAGCTGTCCTGTCACTTCAGGATGCTTAGCAGCTACACTAGCCTCCATTAAACTAGATTCTAATACCAAACTCCAGTCTCAACACAATAATCAAAAATTTCTGAAGGCATTGCCAAATGTGCCTGGTGGAGACAAATCCTTCCTGGTAAGAAACATCAATTCTGCGTTCCGGAGGATGGGAAGACTCACACACTGGAAGTCCCCCATACATGTTCATATGTTCACATCTTTACAATTTTTTATTAATCCTCAGCTGTCAAAAAATACAGTAGACAGATTAATTTTCACAAGTGTTTTAGTACTTAGTGTATTACCTTACACTTAAGATGTTGAGCCAATCTTCAGTCTACATAGATGTGTTGTAAAACTGTATTTCCAGACAACTAGAGATACTCATGCTATATTGATAATGGTAAATCTAAATTGGATGACCTATATCCTCATGGAAGCAGGGAGAATGCTGAAATATATAATTAAATCCCTTATGTGGTAAATTCTAGAATAAAACTACTATAAGAATATTTTTGTAGAACACATTGAAAAATGTAATTAAACTTTAAAATTCCATTGTGCTGTTTTCTAATGTTAAAGTAAATCTAAATTAAATTGGCTTATGCTCTGGTTAAGAAGGATCCAAAGGCATGTCCATATGAACTTTCACCTTATTAAAGTGAACCAAGGAGAATTAGCAAAGAACTAGGGTTTAACTAACAATACCTTTTAGAAAGCACCCAGAATCCTACAGTAACTCACTTTGCCATCCTTAATATAGACTCTGATATATATGTTCATTAAAATAGATATGACATTTGTGCTGAGGAAGTGATTTTACATAAATACAATATAGTTTTCAGCTCTTCATTTGTACTTTATATGTTCAGGTTGCCTATAATATTTCACTTTGTTTAAGATTTCTCAGAGGAAACATATGTCATATGTATATACAGTTTTTAAAAATTATGTGTCACAATGAAGTTTTGATCAGTAATGACCTCCACATGTTATGGTGGTTTCCTAATAGTATAATGAGATAGAAACCTTCTATTGCCTGATAGTAACGCTGTGTTTATGTCATAGCTCACCATCATGACTTTACACTTGTTTGTGGAAATGCATGTATAAACAAACCTACTTTGCTGATGGTCACTAAAATGCAGTCATTAAATGCCTGTGCTCTTTTTTATGCATTTATAATAGTACCTGTCATAATTTTAGAAGTAAGTGTAAGTTTATTGTAAAACAAAATACGTTATATTGCTGAAAATTTCATATTGTTTGTGTATATCCTCTCCTCAGCTATACCAAAGGGCTAACCCAAGTGATAAACCTATACCACCCAACTTTGTGGAACCACACTCTATAATATTCATGCATCACAAATAGGAACTTCTCAGTTAACTTCCCTGATGCTAAATGAGGCACACCTGCATGTTATGTATGCATATATATGTAAATACAAATACATATTGTGGCTATACATATTGATGTTTTATATTATAATAATATAAGCTAAGATATATATTATGTATGTGTGTGTGTGTGTATATATATATATATATATATTTATATACATACTATACACACATGTATCTGGTAGCCTATTCAGTATATACACAAAGACACTATATGTCTTTGTGTATATACTGAATATTGTATTATATGTATCCAGAACATTTTCATCTACAAAACTGAACAATAGGAAACATTGTAAATGCCTACCAATGGAAAATTAAGAAAGTAAATTGTCATTCCCCTGCAAAGGAATGCATCATAGTGAAGTTTTTTGTTTTTGTTTTATTTTGTTTTTGTAGTAGTGGCTTATTGTTTTTACTGTTACTGAAACTTTGTGGGTCGGACTATTGTGGAAGAGACCTTCCCTCCCTAAAACAATTAGTTGCTCTGTTTGCATGGAACTTCTCATCTGCAGTAATTTGCTGTGGTTTGCTTTCTGTTGCTGTGATAAAGATTATAACCATGAGTTACAAAGCATCCTAGAGAGCAGAGGGTGTATTTGGCTTACACACCCCAATCCCAGTCCATCAATTGTGGGAACCCAAAGCAGGAACTCAAATAGGGCAGGAACCTGGTGTTGAGAACTGAAGCAGAAAAGATGGGAAGAAATCAGCTTACAAACCTGCCCCCCAAGGCTTGCTCAGCTTGCTTTTTTATGCAACCCAGGACCACCTGCCCAGCGGTGACACCACCCACAGTGAGCTTGGCCCTCCCATATCAATCCTTAATCAAGAAAACGTCCCATAGACTGGGCCACAAGCCAATCAGATGAAGTCATTTTCTCAGTTGAGATTCCCTCTTCCCAGATGACCCTAGCCTGTGTCAAGTTGACAAAAAAACACTAACTAGAGCATGCCTAGTGAGGTGTATGAAAGAAAAAGAAACTTACAGATAAATCTGTGTCTTTTGAGTTAAATTATCCTTATAATTTGTAGACTGCTTTTAAGGAAGTATTTTTTCAATTCCCAAGTGATATCAAAACATTATTAAGAGTAGTGTAGCCATTTGAATATCAGTTACACTCAGCCTCTACATTCCAGGAAAACAGCCCTAGAGAAAATCCAGGGATAATGGAAGTCCAGGTAGGACAAACCTCCTAAGGTCAATTGAGTCTGTAAGTGTGGTGTAAGCTTGGATTCCAGGACAGAGCTTCCTCACTCAGTACACAAAACCTGTTGAGTGTAAATGGGTCAGAGTTTGGGAAATGAATCTAACAATCCAAGTGGGGGCTGTGAGGCACCATAAGACATAAAATGCTGATTTCATTGCTGCTGTTGTATTGTGTGGCATGGGGAAGAAAAGGTGGTATTTGATGCATAGTAAAGCTTCCTCTTATTCATAAATTCTGCAGATACTGATGTAGACACTGTTATAGATGCTGGAGAATATAGGAAATGGTATGAGAAGTATCAGCTATAATAGTAACTTTTATACGAGGAACATCTGTTAAGTACAGATCACTGAGAGAATAATTTTGCACACATTGACTCTTTTTATCCACACAGTACTCCTAGGTAGAAGACATGTTGGTTTATGAGAGCACTAAGCCTAGTGGAGCTAATTTAGCCAACCCAAGCTCACACCATTAGTGAGTATAAACGTGAAAGTCAACCCAAACTACAAAGTTCTCGACAGCTTCACCATGGTGTCTTTGATTTGTAGCTATTGTATATGATGAATTAATTACATTAATAATGGATGTAATAGAATACTAGCAAGCTAAATTCAGCAGCACACTAAAAGATTCCTTCACCAGGAACAAGTGGGACTTGTTTCTGGAACAAAAGGATTGTTGAACATACATAAATCAAGCTGTAGGATAAGCCCTTAACAGGATGAAGGACAAAATCCACATGATCATCACAAAAGATGCAGGAAAAGTTCTATACATTTTCAGAATAAAGATTGTCAAAACCTAGGCATAAAGGGAATTTACCTCACTATAACAAAGACTAGGACCGGAAAACTCTGAGCCTCAAAATCAATAGCTGTTGAACTCAAAGCCAAAGGATCACATTTTCCTGACATTGAGTTATAATACAATTTTATAATAAACAAAAAAGCCCAAGGGTGTCATTAAAAACAATCACATAAATGAGGAGACAAGAGAACCCAGATATAAAGACATATCTACAGTCAGCTGACCATCAGCAAAGGCACCTAGAACAAAGGGAAAAGATGGTCTCGTCAACAAATTGTGTTTTGAATACTGTACAACCACATTCAAAAGATATCCCAGCATATTTGGAGTCTACCTTACATCACACATAAAATCAACCAAATATCAGGCAAAGAATCATATATAAAAATGAAGTACTAGCAGGAAACAAGGGGAAATCTTGGCACTGAGTTTGGTAATAACTTTGAGGCCATGAAACAAAAATCACAGACAGCAAAAGCAAAATTAGACAGTTGGGATTTTAAAAAAGCTAAAAATTTTTGTACAGCAAGGAAAATAATCAGTTCATAATGAGAGAAAATGCTTGCAATCTATGTATTTCATAAATGGCTAATAGCCAAAATCTACAAGGAACAATCCCAACAAAAATGTTTTTAAAATCTAATTCCTCTAATGTAGTGTTAAATTCAGTGTTGCAGTATGGGGATTTTTTATATTAAATTAAATATACATAAGGAATACTGACTTAATGGTTTCTTTTTTTCCCTCTATTGTCTTTGTATGGTTTAAGAATCAAAGGAGTGAGTACCTCATAAAATGCACTCTGGGATGTGTGCTCTTTTTTTTTTTCTAATTTTTGAAAGAGACTGAGAAGACTTAGCACTGATTTCCCTTTGAGTGCTTGGGAAATTCATCCATGAAGTCATATGGTCAGGGTTCCTTCTTTTTAAAGTTTTTTATTACTGATTTAACCTCTAAGTCATTGTGATCTTTACACTTTTCACTTCTTCTTGAAGATGCAGCTCTCTAGAAATTTATCCATTTCTATCTCTTTATCTGGTTTATATACCCTACTGTGGTATAATGGCTTGTGGTGGTCTTTTAGGAGCTTCTCAAAGTTTTGCCATCTGGTAAACATGATGCAAGGCTAGGAAGCTTAGAAATAAAATTTCACCACTAAAAAAATTTAAGTTTATACTTGTTTGCTGCTTGGCCTCTGTGTGTCCATGAAAGATCCCCACTTACATCATGTCTGTCTTCTCTCTCACCCTGTAGGATCACAACCACCGCAGCATGCATGATGGATCTTCGAAGATATCCTCTGGATGAGCAAAACTGCACCCTGGAGATTGAAAGTTGTGAGTTACTTGTACAGGGGATGGAAAAGAGGGATGTTTGCCTGACCCAATTCAAGTCAACCTTTCTTTGAGTTAATTGGAACTGGGATATTTTTGGCTGCCACCTTTTTTCAAGGGGTTCACTGTCAGTGGCATTTCCTCTCATATTGGTGGTTCAAGGGTCATTTCCATGACATTATCATTTGGACGATTAAGGAAAGTCCACTTATTTTAATTCATAAATGTATAAACTCATGCTCTCCTCATCTTCTCTCAGAACCTCCTAATATCCAAGCTTCGTTAGGTGAAAAAAGAAAACATTTTCTTATCTGTTAACCTGGAAGACTGTAAATGATCTTTTAGAAATACACTCTGGGACAGTATTGTGTGAATGGTGTGCTTTTACCAGTGAAAAGTACATGACAATAAATGACACCTCAATAGGCTTATGCTTTAGATCAAATAGCTTTTTGTGTGGGGGGGATGATTTTGGTCTGCACTTATGAGGCTGTTTTTCATTGACTATTTTATTAATAGTGTGAATGTTTTAATCACTAAGATCTAACCTGCCAAGCTACCCTTGTGTCATTGTTTCCCAGCCATCGGGGCTTTGAGCCCATTCATTGTGAGTACTAGAGATAGGGCATTTCTTTGTTTTGAGAGTCACAAAAAGATGCAGGAGCTAACTCTATCGCTTACTGAAACGTGAAAAATCAGCAGGCGTGTATTTTGAGCATCTAAAATACTTTCTAGAGCTAAATGTCAAGAAGCAAAGGGAAATGAAACCCTTCCAGCTGACCTTACAGTATTACTGAAGAATAAATGTGTTTCTCTACTGTGCTATTAAGCAATTACGTAAACTTTCTAGTCTCATTGCACAGAAATAAAACTGTTCCTATAGAGAGGGCACTAAATTTAGATACAGCCATCATCCTACTCCCGATGGGATGAATAAGAAAATCCGGAAATGTTCTTCCATTAATATTTTGATTTGAAAGGTCATAAAGAACATGGTAAATATTAAAATGTATTATTTATTAAAATGTTAATGGTGACTTGGTTTAAATGGCAAAATGATCGAATTGGAAACATAACCATGATCATTAATTAATGGCTAATAATAGTTTATAAATACAGCAGAGCTGCATTTCAGCAACTAAATCATTACCTTTGAAACAGGAGTAGAATGAGAGGAATAACTGATGGGCTGATGACAGATATGGGTTACCATTCACCTTTGGCTACTTGTCCACTGATTTTGTGGTTTTCTTAAACTTTAGCTTCCTTTGGAAAACTTTGTAATCTGAAATGCTCTTAAAATTCTAGGATCCACAGGGCAGTGGTGGCACACGCCTTTAATTCTAGCACTTGGGAGGCAGAGGCAGGCCTCTGCGAGTTTGGGGCCAGCCTCTGCGAGTTTGGGGCCAGCCTGGGCTACAGAGTGCTTTCCAGGAAAGATTCCAAAGCTACACAGAGAAACCTTGTCTCAAAAAAACAATTAAGATCCTTGGTTTTCATCGTTCAGTTAAGGAGCAATGAATTTTGCAAAGTATTTTAATCGATTCTGCTCTAAGAATTACCAGCATATTCTCCCTCAAGGTATAATGAGTTTTCCTACAATTTCATAGTGAGTTGTAGATCGACATTTTTCTTAAGATGACAAATTTCTTTATTTATACCAGGAAGTATGCAATCTTTCAATCCATTCATCATACTACATAATGACCAAAACAATAAATAAAGCAGAAATTAAATATTGCCTTAAAAGGCTCTACAGAGGCAGAAACATGATAGAAATAAAGAGCCAAACAAGAACTATGGACTCATTGCCTTCTATATGTTAAACTAACAACATAGTAGCATGTGACACCTCCATGATAAAAGTGTAGTGACCACATCTGAGAGATATAGTATCTGGGATACAGAGAACTAAAATAACCAAAGGCAAGAATTACGGAGGGATGGGGATTCAAGCCCAGTTCTACTCCACCACAGACCTCCGCGATCCACGGGTGAGGAAGAGAGCTGAGGCTCTATGGCTAGTGGTCAGCTGCTCTTAGCAGGGCCAGGAATCCTGTATTAATCAAAAAACAGGTCTAGATTTTCCAAAATCATCTCTGCTACGGGTCAGAATTGAAACTAGAAACTAAAGCAGAATTTGGTTCCTAATTTGGTCACGTGCCTAATATTTATCACTGAAAAGGGAGGGTATCTTAAAGATTCAGCAAACCAAGCAGGTCTTGATTCCATTGAAAATAACCATGTGAGTATTCTCACCCAGAAGTCTTTGAGTTGCACAGCTCAACAGTGTGTTTAAAATATTCTTCATCTTAACAATTAACTAATGTAATGAAATTAAAATCTTAAGAATAAAAAACTATTATGTGGTGCAGGAAAATACGCTAAAAATACGGAGTCTGTATTTCCTTGCTGCCTTTTGCTTGCTTTGCTTTAATTCCACCTAAATGCAAAATAAACTGGTTATTTTTCATGTTTTTTTACTCTCTATAACTAAATGTGTGATTTTTATGAAACAGCTCATCCTCAATTGACAATGTATTGGAAAACAGCTCAACTTTAATGGACCTGATATCAGTTAGAATATGAGAATGATAAAGTAGACATTGCTCAATATAAGACTAAGCCAATCAAACTTCTCTGTGGCCAACTGAGTGGAAACATTGCCTACATTACAGAATTTACTAGTTAGTATGTGTATCCCATTAAGGCTGGGGAAACATTTCCCGCGGTTAGGTCCTTTGAGATAAATTAAAGACATTTTGCTTATTTTTAATGCCATCTAATCAACTAAAATTGCAAAGGCCATAAAGTCTTGTTAAACTGAAAATTTACTTGGACTTGGAGCAGAGTAATAGCTTTATAGCCCCGGGATGCCATAAAATGAAGCAGTGGCATATAGAAAAATCAATCAAAGAATTTAGTATAACGAGGATTTGGAATTCAAAATCAATAAAGCTATCATATGAAGGTTGGATAGCCACAAGCCTTGTGGAGATACAGGTAGGTCTTAGGATAAAAATCATGGAGAATTATTTGGATGGCTTTTCCCACTTTCTTCAGCAAGATTAAGGAAAATCTTTAATTTCTCCCTTGCACTTTCAACATAGGCTGTCACCTGTTAACTATACTCAAAGAAGTAGAAGCCAATTTCAAGTCTGAAATCTGTGTCCTCACCCACACATGACCCTTCTTGTTCTTCACCATCCTGAGCAACACCTATGTTTTGGGTGGGAACACATGAAAAACATGTCTGTTCTCCTCACAAAGGATACCCTATAGCAGACCAAAGAAGCAAGTCCACCCACATCTAGCTTATTGAACTAAGTATTTTGGGTTAGTTAGAGTTAGTCAAAGGGAGCTGGTCAATGAAAAGACCACCCCAGAATGAGTAGCAATCCATGAAACCTGTATCAGTAGAGCTCCCTGTACAAGTTATAGGCAGGTCTGCTGGCTAAAGAGTCTCCTTCTCACTAGCAATTGCTTAGTGCTTTTACAACCCTGGGTAAGGGTATTGTCTGACTTTTCCTGGAACAATGTGAACAGCATCTGTTCACCCTAAATAGGGAATCAAATACAGACCAAAGAAACAAGTCCATCCAAATCCAGTGCAAAGATCCAGTGAGTTTATTGAGGTTACTTATAGAGGTTATTTATAGGGGAGGATTAAATTACAGAATCATTGGTGACGCAAAGGCATCACTGAGAAGCCCACCTCAGCATGGGTGATGACTCACAAGAGCATCCCTGGAGCTCTGCATGATCATTTGCAGGCAGCCCAACTGTTCAGTGCCACATCTCAGCGTTTGTTACTGCAGGTCAATGTGGGAAGGATCCCTGTCAATCGTGTAGTCACACTTTACTGAGGCTTTGGAATTTAGTTCACTTCCCAAAGCCTTGTAGGTTTTGTTTCCTTTCTGAATCTTAGAGTCTCCCTCTTAGATGGAATGTTTCAGTTCAAAGAAGCCCTGGTTCTTTAAAAAACGCTTTGTTGGTTGTTACTATTGGTGTTGTTGCTGCTGCTGCTGCTGCTGCTATGGCTGCTGCTATATTCTAAATGTTTGTGTCTCCCTAAATTAATATTGGAACCTACTCATCAGAGTGATGTAATGATAAAAATGGGATAATGAGTAGAGCTCTCGTTAATGGAGGTATTTCCCAGAGTCTCCTAGTGAGTCTTCCACTCACTATATTAGGTCATAACCATCTATGAAAGAGAAAACGGACCCTCACTAGACAGAGTTTATCGGTGCCTTCATTTTGCTCCTCCCCCAGTACAAAACTGTCAAAACTTGAGATATTAATCTCTGCTGTTTATAAGGTGCACAGTTTGTTTTACTAGCTTTAGTATCTCCACATCCTCAAAGGCCTAAATTGAGAATGTAGCACTTCGAAGTACTTCTTTGTTTCCAAGTTTATTGATTCTTCGCCATGCTGATTATAAAGAGGAAAGGATTCATTGCATGGCTCACTATCCACTCATTAAAACCAAGACTAACTTCTAGTAAGAATATGTGGGGGTAATGTATGTTATAAGTAACCCATACAGACTTTGTTGAGTTGCTTTAATTTTCAAAAATAAGAATAGCTTTACCTTTTCAGCTAAGATTTAAAGCATAGCTTTGTACCTGTAATCCAGCATTCTTTTCTTTGTACAATTTCATATTTGTGTCTTAAGACTACCTCAAAAATGATCATAAATGTGTCACCCAAGAGGAAGATAGAAGAAAGCCTAGTACTTTAATGCTTTAATAATAAACATCATGAATCCTATAATTTTGTCTTATCATAATCCATAAACTACCTACGTATCTCCTATATAAACTGCCATGAAGTCATTAAGCAATAGGAAACTTTGGTGACACCTGGCTATTTTCTTAAGAGTTACATAATAAAAGCACTGTCTTCATATATTAAATTTAATGGACCATCCACTCTGTCTGCTAGTCACAGAATACTACCATTCTACTTAAATGCTTGTCTGTAATAATGTGTGTACATCA